AAGTAGCGTCTTCCGCCAATTTCTACAAACTGTTCTAGCATATTTTCTGGTTTCATAGCAGCCTCAATTGGATCCATCATGGATAGCGAATACGTTGGAGTGTTGATTTCTATATCATCTTCAGTGCTCTCATATAATATGCCCAAATCGGTGCCTGAGATGTCGGACGTTGTTAAGGAAGGGGGTCTGTTTGAAAGCATCCGTTCCATTTTGAATAATATATGTGCACGCTCATTCACAACCAGCGAGTTTTTTTAAAGAGTTGAAAAGTAAATGTGACACTGTATAATTAACATTATTGGTGTATTAATGAACCAACAAAACTTCGATTAATCATTACGTAATATATTTTTTACATTGAATTCAAGAACAGACATGTTATGCGTCGGCTTGATCAGTAACAAGTTAATGAAAATTTTTTTCAGATTGTATAAAGCCTTGCCTTGTAGCAAAGGCTCTTAAAAGAGCTGTTAGGGACATTGCAATACAGCCGTTATAGGTGCTGGGAAGTTATGGCTATTTGCGCAATAAGGTTCATGCCAGATTCTCAAGTACTTTGTCCTACGGTGTGGCGAAACTTTTCTGCTTCATTGTTTATCTTCACCACCCAATGAGAATACTGTTGTGTATTTACTGTCACTTTAACCGCAGCTCTTTCGAAAGCTCTCTTGTTTAGGTAATTGTCGAATAATAAGTGGGGTTATACGGGTTACTGACCTTTAAGAACAAGAACCCCCGCTTTCTATTATTCGCATATGCGATGTATGAAATTTGGTATATTGTGCGAGTGATAAAGGATACGCAAGATATTCAGCTTGTAACAGTACGAATCATTCTTACGTCACACTGTCTAAACAATTTCCATGGTGATGATTCTTTTGTGGAAAATAATATGTTGTTTGGTTTTACGCACGTTGTTGGCATGTTTTTTATAGATTTGAAAATCACAATTGCTATACAAATACTAATCAATATATTACTAAATATAGGTTTGGTTTTACTAAGAAATAGGCAAACGTTTTTTAACCCAACTAGTCTTTTCCCCAACCTTAAATCTTGTTAGCAATTAAGTTACGTTTTGCAATCGTCAAGAACGTTCTCATTTTAGCTCATTCATTATCGGTAAATCTCCTCATCAAGGTCTTTACTGGATGCGCAACATTCTCCACCAATTGCTACTATTTGTATCTCTTGAATTGAAATAAAATATTACGTAATGATTAGTTGAAGTGTTGGTACTCATTAAATTATATGAATAATCACGAATAACGTAACTGTACTGTGTCACACACGTTACCCCTTAAAAAATTCGTTGGTTGAAAAGATCCGTGCACATGCAGAGAACAGACCTTCTCTTTCCTTAAAATGTTTGACTTCTCACACACTGATCCGGGTATATAATACAAGAGCACAGAAGATAAAGCAGCAATCAGCACTCCAACGTATTTGCTATCCAATTGAGTCTGATATGCAACCGGAAAATATGCTAGAAAAGTTTGTAAAAGCGGCGGAAGACGTTACCTCAACAGTAGAAGGTTATTACTATCTGATTAGTGACCAGAAAGAAGCAGAAAGGACGCACAACCAAAATCACATGGACAAATTATGTTTATTTCAAAGACATTGCATGACATGGCATGCGGATAATCGTATAACACTTCTAATAAATTAATGTTTGTTTCAAAAAAATTGCACAACCTGAGCCAATGTCGAAAAAAGATTCTGAAGAGTAGCGTAAATTATCTTCTACTATTCACAAAACAACGAAATAATTAAAAAATTTGATAAAGCGTATAGTAATAGTATAGCGTATATTTGATCACCAAATTATTCGGCTAAAACGTAGAAAAGCTATCATGAGAAACTTTTCAACCTAAACATAAAATAGCAAAGCTGTTTCATAACTTATCAGGCAATAAACAATACAATAGTATGGCCGGTGAGCATTACACTGCTCTGATGTCCACTGATACTTGAACACGAATAATGGTATTCCCTGCCGGCGATCAATTGTAATTCATTGCTTATTAATATATTTGAATTTTTTCTCTGTTCCAAATTGATGTTCTAATAACTATCTTTATTTACTGTATTTTTTGGCTATCCAATTACTAAACTTGGTCACCTTGGGAAACGTTATGTAACAAAATTTATTTGTTACAGAAGAAACACGCTCAAAGTACGTGTAAACCTTTACAAATTAAATAATTTATTCAACAAGCAAATTTGAATCGATTATGTAGGATAACGAATGGTAAGAATCCTTACCGCTTTGCAACATTATCAATTATTCGAGAATGTTAAATTTTTTATGTCAATAATGCAATGATAAAAAGTGAAATATGAACAGTTTTTTTTAAATAAACTCAGAGTACTGTATTTTTTTTCTAACAAGGTCATAATAATTGGATGGCTATTTCAAATACTGGGTAAATCTATCTAACATTTTAATTGTAATTTGTTGGTCTTACTTTATGTAATGTCCTCAATTGCATAATAATAAACAATCTTACACTTTTACCGAAATATTTTGTCAATATATAATTAAGTTTCTAACATTTTATCGGTTAATTAATTATGGCCAATACTTAATCTACAAAAAAGAGTAACCTGAGACTCTTCAATATCCATCGCCGTATGTTTACAGATTGACATGTATATACACAATAAAATTCCATGGTTTTAACTTAACAGGCTTGTTTAAGTGAACCGCTCTATTTATAAAATATATGTAATTTGTCCTAGAGAGAACCTTGCATTTAGGAAAAATTGATGTACTGTATATTTGTATAGTTTATTTGATAATTATAATACAGTAATAACACAAATCAATAAACAACAGGCGTCAAAAAAATACCAATGTTGCAAAAAGTGGTAAATATTCAAAACTGTTTACTGGGATTTTTTATTAAGAGTAAAACTATTAGAATTAAAGCCATTTTTGCTGAACGCTGTAACTTAAAAATCGTGCCAATATATTCTGGCTTGTCTTGATTCTGTTGTAAAATATAACGAAAAACAATGTCTAATGTCTAAGTTAAATGTTGTTTTTAACTCATTGAGCAACATTTACATGAGTAGCATTGGGTTACTGATTTTATATTTGAGAACGAGCAATTTTTGCTTGTTCGTTAATATAGTTTTTTAATTTTAGACATACTCTGAAGATTAAAGAGCCGTAGCGACTGATTAGTGGTACCAAATGGAATAATCTATAAAATTTTACTTATTGTTTGCTGGATCGTGTGCTTAGGGAAATTTTTTACATGAGGGCCAACAAATATTATGCACTTAAGGAGAATCTACTGTATTTGAAAAAAGCTGTTATGGTCCAATTGTGCTGTTTTATACAAAAAGGCACAGATTTGTACGTTTACTATTATTACTTATTGCAAGTGCAATGCTCTGTAATTTTTAAGCATATACTATATGTCTTTAATTATTTAATAAAACAAATAAACTAAACCTGACCTGATATATTTTTATATATGTGTGTGAAGGTTCCAAAGTTGTTTGAAGGATGATGTATTTTTTTAAAAAAAAAAACACTCGAACGAACAGGCTGTTTATTTACATCATTGATTAAATAACCCTCAATTTAAATTATTATCAACAATACAAGCTGTAATACAGTGTAAATTTATTATACAGTACAATTTTACAGAAGTTAATAATTATTTGAGATTGTGGCAACAAAAATAAAAAGCCCTATTCAGTAAACAATAAACCAAGGTCAAACGCTGTCCAAACGCTTTTGAATAATAACACGGTACCGCGTTTTGCAGAGCGTAGCTTCATTGCATTCTTTCACAAAATCAATTAACGTTTGTTCGAACTCTTCTTCCGTAATTCTCATAATGTGAGCGAAAATGATTTTCGATCCTCTATATGCGTCTACTATACATTTCAATATCTAAACAGCAAAGCGTTAATTAATTATAACATCTCGATAATGAGCACTTTTTACTAAACATTATACACTTTGTTTACTATACTTGCCGCTTCACCTAGTCTACCTGCTTTCTTCCCCAAACGGTATGTCTTTACTTTTATTGGTGTGACAATTACTTTATCCTTGAACTCATTGAATGTTTTTATTACGTCTGTGCCGGATGCTGGGTTGATCCCGGCTTTACGAAGATGTTCGAATACTACGATTTTAAATAATGGAATGCAGAAAGGTAACCGGGTTTAGCGAGGCAAGTACACGCTCAAAAAACGCATACAATTTATCAGATACTTACAACAATCGTCAATTTTTCCACCTATTATTCCTGGATTTATAACTTCACGGTCTACATCCATAATTTCGATATATCCTCCGGGCTTAGTTACTCTTATTAGTTCTTTCACCACTTTCTCTTTCCATGATTGCCAATCAATACAAACTATGACAAACGCTTGTCGAACAAAATCAAATGTGTTATCTGGAAACGGTAGACCATTCAGGATATTACATTTAAGAAACGTCATATTTGGTGGATAGTCTTCAGGGAACAAAGGAACGATGTCTATTCCGACAAATACTGAAGCAGGGTACTCTAACGCCATATTTACTATCCATGCTCCTGCACCACAACTGATTGAATATAGAAATTATTAATACGGGTTATTGTACCTTTGCTTATCAAACTTATAATCTATGTATTTACCCAACGTCAAGAACGCTTGCTCCTAATGATAGACTATCGAAAACGGGAGCAGAGTAGTTACCTTCCCATATGATTTTGTCTAGGTGATTTCGGACATACGTTCTTTCTACTTCTTTCTGGTCACTGGGCAGATAATAATAACTTTTTACTGAAATATCGTTGAGGTAACGCCTTCCGCCAACTTCTATAAACTTTTCTAGCATATTTTCCGGTTGCATAACAGCCTCAATAGGATCCATTATGGATAGTGAATACGTTGGAGTATTGATTTCTATTTCATCTTCAGTGCTCTCATATGATATGCCCGAATCGGTGTCTGAGAAATCAAACATTTTTAAGGAAGGAGGTCTGTTCGTTCTCTGCATGTTGAATGAAATGACATGTATGCGCACAGACCTTTTCACCCAAGCGAGCTCCTTTTAAAGAGTTGAAAGTAATGTTACATTTGTCACAATAGAATGTGGCCTAATATTGCTACTTTATTGGTAATCACTAACCAAACTTTGATTAGTCACATTACGTAATATTTTAAGATGCTGTTTTAGCATTTGATGTTCAATTCAAAAGACACAGACATCATATCGTTTAAGTTTGATTATACCTCGGTTTGGTCGGTAACAAGTTGATGAAAAAAAAAATCAAATGTATATAGTTGTTGTAGCAAAACTTGCTGTGGGTGCATTAATTAACCATTTCAAAGGGAAATTGCAATACAGCCGTTATATATGCTGGGAAATCTCCAAGTCATCCAAATCGCTAATTTAATTTTCAAGTACTTTGTCCTACAACGTGATAATGTTGTGAAACTTTTCTGCTTTCGTGTTTATCCTCTCCACCCAATGAGATTATTTAGGATAGACTTACTGTTACTTTAACCTCAGCCCCTTTCTTGTTTATGTAATTGTCAAATAATAAGTGGGGGTAGGTTACATTTCCTCTACGTCCACAACATTGCTTATACGGATATTGACCTTTAAGACCACATTTTCTATTATGTATATATGACGACTGATCTATTCGCAAAAAATAAATGATCGTCAGAAAGCTAACCCTAATCTAAGCGACCAATAGTAATAATTTAACTTCTGGCGAGTTATGTCCTTATAACAAACCTTCTCAATAAATCGATAAATTTGTTCTCCTTTACGCAGTACACTTACGTTTTCACTTTTATTAAAAAGAGTAAGTATGAATAGCAGAATAAAAAGGTTAAAAGAAGCGGGCATTGATATTCCGCAAGGATTGGGGTTTCGGTGACCTTCTTTGCAGATCACTGTCATCGTGCTACCGAACTTTTCGTAGATCAGTCGTCGTATGACTTTCTGGGTTAAACCAAACCTATGTTGAATAAAGATACTGCATTAGCATACCACTTAGCAAGATCGACCTTCGTTAAAATCTATAAAAACGTACGTAACCAAACAACCTACAAAAGAATCACCATACCCGTGACGTAACAATTGGTTCGTGCAATTACAAAGTCAAATATCTTGCACATTTCTTTATCACTCCGTCCCGTTTTCAGTTTTGTTAACAATTAAGTACTAAACGAGTAAATTATACAATTATCAAAAGTGTGCTTATTACGGCTAATTTATTATCGGTAAAATATCTTCATTCGAGAAGGTTTTTACTGGATACACATTTTCATCAATTGCTCTTATTCTGTATTTGGTTTATTCTTTGTATTTTTTGAGAAACATGTGATAAATGCGTAAGCGTTTAATCACACAATTTACATAAATTTCGAGGCTAGTTTTTAATAATTTTTTTTTCTCCACAGGTGGTGCGTTGATGAAGATATCTACATGGGACGCGTAATACTGTATTTTAAAGATGACGGTTCAACTTTCTTACTGTTACAAATAGTTGGTATATATAATATTCATTACAATACTTTGAAACTAATGATTGTATTGTATACCTGGCCAACGATTAATTTTACTTCATTGCTCATTAATATATTCAAATTTTTCTCTATTTTTGGATTTGGGGTACTAATAACTATAACCGTATTTTTGGCTATCCAGTTACTAAAACAAAATTTGTTTGTTACAGAAAAAGCACGTTCTAACTACGTTTAAACCTTTACAATCCATTCAACAAGCGGTTGAACCGATCATGTTGGATGAGTAACAAGCATACGAGTAACGTTGCATAATATATATGCCTTTGATTACTTAATTAACAAAATATAAATCTAATTTATTTGTACGTCGAATGTGAGGGGTACTCAAGTTGTTTCAAAAATGTATGCGATTGTTTTTTTAAAAAAAAAAACAAATAAACAAATAAATAAACAAATAAACAACCATAGCGACAGCGACAGCAATAACGCTCGCTGTCTGTGGTAAGCTATCGGTTAAATAGCCCTCACATTAAAACTGCTATTTCTAAAAAATTACATATATAAACTGTACAGTGTGGTCCAAGAATAGTGATTATTGGAAATTATGACAACAAGAATCAATATTCAGCAATCTGTTAATATCGATATATAAACAAAAATGTCAATTATCGTACGCATCCAAACGCTTTTGAATAATGGCACGGTATCGTGTTTTGCAGAGCGTAGCTTCATTACATTCCTTTTCAAAATCGATTAAAATCTCTTCAAACTCTTCTTCTGTGACCCTCATAATGTGAGCGAAAATGATTTTCATTGCTCTGTATGCGTCCACCATACATTTCAATGTCTAAACAGCAAAGCACTAATTAATTATAAGCATCAAATTTTCTTAAATGCTATACACTCTGTCTACTATACTTACCGCCTCACCTATTCTACCTGCTTTCTTTCCCAAATGATATGTTCTTACTTCTATGGGTGCTACAATTACTTTATCTTTGAACCCATTAAACGTTTTTATTACGCCTGTACCGGATGCTGGGTTGATTCCGGCTTTACGGAGATTTTCGAATACTACAACGGGTCGTCGGGTTAGCGAGGCAAGCCACACGCTCAAAACGTATACGCATACATTTATCAGATACTTACAATAAGTGTCTATTTTTCCGCTTATTATTCCCGGATTTGTACTTTCTTCGTATACATCCATAATTTCGATATAACCTCCGGGTTTAGTTACTCTTGTTAGTTCGCTTACCACCTTGTCTCTCCATAATTGCCAATCGATCCCGACTAGTAAGAGTCCTTGTCGAACAAAATCGAATGTATTATCTGGAAACGGCAGACCATTCAGAACATTACATTTAAAAAATACAGTATTGGGTGGATGATTTTCGGGAAATGAAGGAACGATGTCTATTCCAACGAATACTGATTCGGAGTAATCCAACGCAGTATCTATTACCCATGCTCCTGCACCACAACTGATTAAGAAATCATTAATACGGGGCGATCCAGAATGCTTGTATCTTTGCTTATCAAACTTACGATAATGTATTTACCCAACATCAAGAACACTTGCTCCTAATGATAGATTTTCGGAAACGGGAGCAGAGTAGTTACCTTCCCATACAATTCTATCTATATAATGTCGGTCGTGCTCCCTTATTCCTTCTTCTCGGTCTGCGGGCAAATAACATTTAACCGTGTTATCGTTCAAATAACGTTTTCCGCTGACTTCTACAAACTTTTCTAGCACATTATCTGGTTTCATAGCAGCCTCGATTGGATCCATGAAGGATGACGAATATGTTGGACTGTTGACTTCTGGTTCAGCTTCAGTAATCTCAGATGATATACCAGAATCTGTGTCTGAGATATCGAACATTTTTGAGGAAGCGGGTCTATCTGTGTCCATTTTGAATGATATTAGATGGATAAACTAGAATACGAGGCTTCTTTTAAGAAGTTGGAAATAGTGTTACATGAGAATGTTGTTTGTCACAGCATGATGTGACGCAAGTATGGTAAACATTATTAGTAATTGTTTAAATAACGAAACTTCCATCAATATTTTAAACTCTGATTGATATATTGAGGCTTTGATTAATAGTTTAAAACAAGTTTGATTTATGTCGCGGAGAAGATTATGATCCGTTATTCGAGTTTGATTACTCCCGGCTTGTTCAATAAAAGTCTCCATAAAATGTACTTACATAAAGTCTCGTTGCAACAAATATCTGCAAGAATCAGTTGAACAACAATTCTAACTTGGATTTATTTATGCGATGAAGTTCTTATGATGTCACTAATTAAGCCCTCGGGGATTTTCTCCTGTAGCAAAACGGAAAAATGATCAACACGCACTACGAATCCGTATAAGGTACAACATTTTTAGTTCCTTCTTCATCCAATGATCGTAACTGTAGTGTTGCGCCTAGTAAAAAACATGATACCAATTGTGGTTGTTAATTAAAAATATGTAGCGGTAGGTTACACACCCAGGGTCACTCTCACAACCACTACATTCTTATACGGGTCGGGTTATTGCCTTTTTCGGTTGTCTTAAGAAAAAGAAGTTATTCTCATTCTTTATGATATATCGATATGTGATGTGATAAAAACGAAGATAGAGATGCAAGATGTTAAACTTGTATCGTACGAATATCATTAAAAAGAAAAGTATGATATGTGGCGACATCAATCTTGCTAAATTAGATATCGCAATGTTCTGATTATCCGCGCATTACTGCATTATTATTATGCATTACGTCGTCACATGATATGAAAAAATAATATACAAATCAGATATTACGTTGTCACATGATACGAAATATTTATATCTATGATATGAAATATGAACGTATGATATTCCAGAGACAAACTTTGCGAGTTTATCGTACATGACTGTAACAAAACGCCCTTTCTACTAATAGGATTATTTGTAGCAATGAGCATATTACGCCCACGTTTACTCATTTTTCTAACATATCTTCATCCATATTATTCTCTTGTTGACTACTTTCTGTGACTTGTTTAGTGGTACGAAAACATCTTGCAAGCTTGTTGGTCGAACATGGTATTATAGTAGGATAAAGAACACGAATCCAGAAAGAATGTGTTATATAACAGTTGCCAATGTATCCTGCCGAGCATAATATTTGCTTAAAGGCGTGAAATGTAAATCCGGATTACTTTAGTCAGCGGTATACAGTAGCAATAGTAATTTCAGTGTAACAATTAATTAATAAACAACGCTTACGAGTATATAAATAGCCAAACTAGTACATACAGTATGTCGTCGTTACGCAACGTATCAGCTGGAAAAGTAGAGTTCAAACTTATTTTTCAAACTGCTGTTTGTTATTGTGGTTATCGAATTAATTGCCTGTCGGAAATAAAGCCGTAGGCACAATTGTTAATAGATAGCTTATCAGACATACATATGACGTACGTGTTAGGAGACTGAAATGTTCATTAATTGCCAAGTTTATGTAAAAGGTTACTAATAGTAAAGATATGCCACACGGTATTGATAAAAAACCTACTAGCGTATGACGGAATAATTGCTGAGCTTCTTGAAAGGCAAGTCCACAACCGGAATTTTAAGTCAAAATTTAAACGTATTTTAGTCTATGAGATATGCAATAACTTATAAGACCGGAAAGAAAATAAACTAGTGATGCTATGTTTACAATTTAGCAGGGATACAATTATGAGTTGAGCAACCTTAATTTGCGCCATTATGGTTAGCCCTACCTCAAGAACAATTTTTAGTATTATATTTACATGGTCAGCAAAATGTAGGCGCAGGGTTTGAGTTTTGGCGTATGAATATTAATATCGATTTGAATTTATAAGCATTCAGTCAACTTTAATTTCGAAATTTGATAAACCAAAGACCCTAAAGTAACGTAACGTAACGCCGAGCATACGAATACATGTCCTGTTGACTAAAATCAAAAATGAAAGCCAACAAACCATTATAATAAATAGAAAAACAATTTAAATTCAAACTTACAAAGACAAGGTTAGAGTATTTGTAACAGCTATAATTTGTCTTCAAATGTACTTGGTAATGACGATGAAAAATCAGTATATCTTTTACTACTTACTGGATAAATTTACTATTTCTTTTGTTGTTATTGGTGTATTATTCGTTTTGGTAATTAAAATTCATTTATTAACTATAACTTTACAAGTGTATTATACATATTTGGGTAAAATATTTCTCGATCCCGCCTTTTGACTATTCAAAGTTTGTCTATTTTTTAAGCCAGGTAACATGTCCAGCATGTCAAATATATTATGTATATATATTTATATCTGTTATTAAAATTTTGTTACGCCACGTATTTCACATGTTTTCTTGCAATAGCGCGATAAATCATTACACTACAGTTGCGTCGATTAAGTTCTTCACCCAGGTCCATCGTCAATTGTTCATATTCGTCATTCGTAATTCCAAGGTGATAAGTGAGAACAGGTTTCAGGGATTTTAATGATTGTAGGAAATTTTTCAATGACTAAATAGACGAAAATAATTAGACGTTATGTAACTGTCAAAACATTAATGCAAAATGTTGCTTACCATTTCTCCTAATTTCCCGGCTTGACTTCCAAATTTTCGAAGTTTTTCCTCTAGCGGTGCGGCTGTAACTGCATTGTTTAGCGACTTTAACAGTGTTATCACGTTTTTGGCAGAGGTGAAATTAATACCAGCATTTTTGAAAAGTGTCGATTCTGTATCACACGAGGTAAAAGAGTTGGTTAGACAAACTAAACAAATATACAAACAAGCAAGCATGCAAGCATGCGAACAAACAGGTTTTCAATGCTTTGCCAACAACTCCTACACTTACGACACTTGTTGAGCTTCCTCCCGATTTCTCCTGGTTGGAGAAACTGACCATCGATATCCATAATTTCAATATATCCGCCAGGTTTTGTTATTCTTATTAATTCTTTTAATACTTTTTCTGTCCATATTTGCCAATCCATACAAATTATGAGAAACCCCTGCCTGACAAAGTCAAAACAATTATCGGGAAATGGTAGACCATTGACGACGTTACATTGAAAAAATGCAGCGTTCTGCGGAGTAACTTCAGGAAATAACGGAGCGATATCTATTCCAACAAATGTTGAAGCGGGATAGTTCAGGGCCATGTTTGTTATCCATGCACCTGAACCGCATCTGTGAGATGACGTGAAGGAAAAACAGCACGATAAATAAATGGGAAAAAGAACGAGATTTGGTGTCAATTACACAATGCACGTTGCATAAAAATAACGTTACTTACGCGACATCAAGAACTTTTGCACCGTGTGACAGTTTATCAGAGACAGGAGCCGAATAATCATTTCCCCAGACGAGTTTGTCTACGTAGTAACGGTCGAATGACCTTTTAGCTTCCTCTTTATCACTAGGTAGATAGCATTTCAATGAACTGTCATTTATGAAAAGTCTTCCATCAATTTCTATAAACTTGTCAGAAAAGTTCTCTGGGGTCATTGCGGCCTTGATCGGGTCCAGTAACGATGCCGACAGGAAATCAGATTCTATTTCGGCATCGTTGTTTGCAAACAGTATGCTTGGATCGGTTGTTGCCAGGATGGATATTACTGAGAGTGTAGGTTTGTGCTTGCTGATTTTCTCCATTGTGAGTTGAATGAAAATATGGAATTAGCGGGTAACGCCTTTTTTTATAGGAGAAAAAAAAAGAAATTAATTAATAAAACGAGAAGAAACGGTGCATGGGTAAAGCGGGCGAAGATCTACATTTTTTTTTGCATAAACTCTCATTTGCGTAATTAATTTCGGTAAAAACCGGATCCGAACTTGATTGGTAAGTATATATTATTATACAGTAATGCGTATAAAATAGTAGTCGATACTCAATACATGAGTGCATTAGTTTCTACTCTTGTTAAAGAGAAACCGAAAATAAACGACATATCCGGTCAAGTGGATGATACAGAGACATTAGTCTTAACCGACTTGAGGGGTTTTACGGTATTTTCAACCGTTCTTCCCCCCCCCCCCCTTTTTTTTTTTTTGCAATATTCAATATGTGTGTAAAAATATATTATTATTATTATACGCTTTGCGTTGAGTTGATATAAATCTCGTTTACAGTTGAAAACGCTTGTTTTTTTTTCTTTCTTTTGTCATGTGATACATTTTCAGAGAAAGAATGTTCAAGCTAGACTCGAATTATCACAAATTCGCTATTGGTATTTTCTTGATTCTTTGCTTATCTAAGGATTAGCTAAGCGATCGTTCTATATTAAGAACCAATGGGACCAAGTAATTCCTCCAACAGTGCTTCTCATATCAATACACCCGAAAATGAATGAAAACGATAAAACGGGAACGAATGAAAATCCAAAAGATATTGTTGTGTTCGCATGTGGCCGTGGGTTGCTGGAAAAATAAGCTTTTTAGCATACAAAACTAAGTTGTTATCATGGTAACACGGTTACGATTGATCGATCGTAATTTGCTAATGTTAATCTGTCGTAAATATAAACACTGCGCGATGGACGGACCGCGATCGTCAGCGGATAATGCATGCACTTAAACCATGGCAGGCAAAAAGCCGAAACTGTATGATTTCCGGTAAATGACTTGCAAATTATTTTGTTTCTACAGAATCTCACAGTATCCTTTAATGCTCAGAAAATACAGCTTTTTTTCCCTCAAATTCTTTGTTTGCCCGGATCTTTCCATCCCCCCATCTATTTTTAGTATAAAGTCTTTGTTCAGCACGATCTTACTTTTATGTGTGTGTGATCGGATTTAGACATCCATTTATAGTATCGCTTATTCATATGTTTCTGGCAAATTCTACAAACAAATGCAATGACGTTAATACAATCGCACGGCCCTCACTCTTATGTTACTGACGAGAAAGCTATTAATAAGCGTTCATAATAAAATTGAACACATTGCCTGATAAGTACGAATGTACAACATAAATTCGACTTACCAACATGCCATGTGCTTCCAAATTGCCCGTTATTATAATCATTATTAATGAGTCTCCATTTGCAGAATGAAATTTGGTGAGCAGCTTATATTTCAATATGCAAGTTTGCAGTCGAAAGCCTTTCATACTTAAAAGCTGTTAACCGCATGTATAACCACAAGATTGTTTGAATAAATATTATTAAATGACAAATATTTTACATAAGACTTGCCGTATCTTACGCACATAATAAATGTTAATCTTGTTATGAGGTAAATCTTGAAAGTAGCCAGATATTAATTTAATCAAGAATTGTAAATTAATAGCATAACTTTGTATTAGTATTAGTATGGATACTGTGAGTGAAGCATTTATTATATGCGTCGATAATGATTAGCTGATATTGTACCTTTCGGATAAGAATTCAAATGACAATCTTCGAATGCTGAAGGTCAACATAATCTCAAAGTTTAAATATTCATTGAGAATGAGAGTCTTACTTGCCATGCTGTGCGACTGACAAACTTGATTATTAACAATTGACAGTGTTGAAAGTTAAATTAAGGAATGTCGAGGTTAGATTAGTAAACAGTCACACAATTCGGTAGAGTTGAAACCATGCCTGTTACAAGGGAATTCCACAGTCGTGTCTCAACGTGCGTGTGTGTATGCGTATAATGGAAAATAGGGACGTGCTCCACATTAGCATGTCATTGCGAAATTCTCATTGTATCACAACACATTCCCAATTTCGGGAACAAGCCTCCCACGCAACAAAAGGGCCGTCTTCGTATAACCAAGTGAATTCTGCACGCGCGTTATTTCAACTTCGCTTTGCACTCACCGACGGCATTTCACGATGCTTAATCGCAACCGCTTAATGCGACAGCCGGCTGATCCTTGCCCCTTACCTTGGGTCGAAAATAAGGCTTAGAGGATACTCTAACGCTGACGTGAAGCAGTCCAAAGCATCACGCGAACAGCGACTGAGATCGCTCAAAGTATCTACAACAAGTGAGTGGAATGGTTATAAATGACAGTGCGTAAGTACAGCTTAAAGTAGAACTATATTCGATTCATGAATCACTACAAATGATTGCAGGATCATAAATTAGCCGTATGTGTAGACATCTGAACTAGGTATCAAGATTGTGGAGGGTTTTGTGCTAATTCTATAATAACTATTGGATTCTACAGACGTTGGATGTCAAGGTTAATTCCTTTATGCCAATCTAGAGAATTGAGAATTTGGTCAATTAAACGCTCTGTCCCATACACATTTTCCCACCTGTGCAAACGTCGTTCGTGAGTGGGAGCTTGTCGAACAATACCTGCCAATTCACATATATCGAATGTCATCTGGGTAGGATTTTAATATTAACACCACTGCAAAATGAGATCATTTGTTTGTTCTAATTCTTTTTATCATGTCAGATTAGCAGGAAGACATTGGAATATATTTGATCTACTTTTTGGTGATAAATTGGATAGCTGTTGATGACAGTTCTGGTGATGATGGCGAGGATGTCAGTGAGGATTCAACTCCAAGGTTATATCATATCTTTGCCAACACTGAATCTGAATAGCCATTTGCTATGAAGGCTCTGTTTCTTGCAAAGTGGACGCGCCAAATGAACAATTGGATAAACGATGTAAGTATATTCGTTATGCGCCGTATCGGTAGTTGGCAGTTGTAAGTTCATTTCTAATATAATGAATTTGACTAGGAATAACGTAGGATCCTTGTCCAGGAAATTTGTCTGAATTACGGGTAGAATTATAGCGAAAAGCACGTTCACAAGTTAATTATTAATCTTGTATAGTATCATTAGCATCGAGGTAACTAATTCCATTTCTGACATTTAGAATCGCCGCCGGTAACGTCATACAAATAATAACTTTTAACACATATGCACGTCATATTCCGGTAACTCAACTTTCTCGGCAATTGAAACGTAAGTCTATAAATTATAGCATGATGCCTACGATTGATTATAAATTAACGTCTAATGCAAACAATTGGCAACAGGAACGTTCATTCCACGCAAGAAAACTAATTCAAGGATGATTGGGGAAGTCATAAGTCTGGCTGAAACGTATGTAGTGACAAGTAATCTTTATGCAAATTTATTTTATACATTAATTTTGAGAAGTATATTAATTATCTCCTATCGTAAATGCTATATTGATAGTAACAACGAAGTAATATCGAAACGCTTGAATCAGTATTTTGAGTATTCAGAACTTTTAAAGGGCATATAATTTATTGTAAGAATATTGTTATCGTAGTTTGATTTGAAAAACCGCACATCAAACTCAAAAGTCTAATCAACCTGTTATATGGCCAGGCTTAATAGTAAGAATTAGAGGCATTGGTGCTTGCTGACGCTTGAAGCGTTCTACGCATGCCGATTGCAATTATGCCAACCGTAACTTATATGATACCCCCCATATACGACACAGGGACCGTATGGGACCTTTGAATGTGCTTAATAGACTGCAACAAGATACATCAAAATCGTCGTATGGAGTAGCCTCGCAGAATCTCTTTCAACGGCCGACCAGTGAATGATAAAGGACTTGAACAGTTTTCGACAGAAAATGACGGTATATATTTCAATTGAATTTGAGTCATCCCAGCAATTTACGATGGGTCTTATGAAAGCTATCCGAACGTTTATGGACTATTTCAATTCCAACTCGAATATACGGCACAGAATATACGGCAGAAGCGGTTCTGATGAAGTCGGAAAATACGAGATGAAAGTGTCAAATGAAAGGTGAAATTTATTGGATGTATTTTGATTGCACCCGAATCCGTTTCACTACAGGAAAAGCGGCAATGATTTAATCCGAAAGTTATTGCATATTTCAATTTTGATAGAAACAAGTTATCGAGCTCATGGGTGAAAAAGGCCCATTTAACGGCAGCTGGCCAACGGCTGCGAAGAAGCCAGAAGAGTAGCAATCGCAAACTTTATTATTATTTGATATGTTGGCAATCTCCGGTTTCAGCAAAGACAATCTAACGATTCTTTGTGAGACATTGAAGGTTTACTGACTGAACACGGTTGGAAGGCAATTAAGTATTTATTCAACGATGCTTGACACGTCTATTCGAAAACGGGAACTCTATATACAGAGATCCGATTACCAATTCCGACAATTTGACACGACTTTATTACAACAATCCTCCTCAGGTGCGACATACTGAACAACCACATGAGGTATTGTCCTTTTGGCAAGATGACTCTCAACGAAAGAGTGACATGTCAACTAATTCTGCCAATAATTTCAGATCAAATGGGATGGAAGACCGTACGGATGCTAAAGCGAAGATTAGATTTATACTCGTCGATGCTGGAACGAGAAAGATGGTGTTATGGTGCGGCGGCAGCAGCAATCATTAATATAAGCAAGAGAGCTTAGAATCAGAAGTATTCAATGAGCTTTACTTAGTATATGTGGATACACATGGTTAATTACGACGACCGGTTTGCTGAACCAAAACGGTATGTATATACTACTTGAGAAGCAGAAAACATCCGAAAAGCGCACAATCGAATTAACTAATGAACTATCATTGAAATTAGTGATCTGTATATCGAAGCTCATTATTACGCCGTCAAACTGAGCCGGATAATGCTGTAATGTAAAACTTTAAGCTAACAGACATCATAACCGTTGTTCGATTATCCCGCATGGCCTGTCAAAAAGCACATGACTGTTTCGCGTAACTCTGTTCACAGGCTAAAAAACCTAAAAGGTCTGAGCTGTAATCAAGCGAACGGTCGATATTACGAGGACTTTGGTTTCTATTCCGAATTGTTCATTATTGGAATTCTTACTAGACTACATGTCTTATGATTATTATGTAATATCTATAAGCTTGGGAAACACGAAATTGCACCGAACAACGGTTATGCTGTAGGATAAAATGAAGCAGTATTCGAGTGCATTGGCCGACATTTTGAACTCAAACATTTTTTAATCATATGATAAGAGCACGAGATGGCGTAGTCATCAAATACAAGAATATTAATCCACGGAGCACCCCTTCGCCATTTACCCATTGCACAGAATAAGACTTGTTTTCAATTCATTCAATAATATATATTTTATTGCGTGTGGTGTCTATGTATTAGGTGAATAGGTTTGAGAAAATAGTTTACAATAAATCAAATTGAAAGTAAAGTACAATGACGGTTGATAATAGTCGTCGAAACTTTGGTGGGAAAAACCGAAGAGAGAAAAAGCCGAAGAGAAAAAAAGAAAACCTTGTAGCGAAATCCAAGAGAAAAGCCGAAGAGAAGGAATGATCCAGTTTTGCTTCTTAAGCAAAAGTTACGCTGAACAATAATTGGGGAGCGCAGCTATAGAAGAGCTTGATTCTAGAGCAGGCATCAAGGGTCTGTCTCCAATGTTCATATGTTCATATGAGAGATCTAGAGCCTCAATTGCCATGTTTTGATTTTGACAGATTTGTATTTCATACATGTTGCGCAATTGTCGGTAAACCTCCTTACATATTGGTCGCTTGTAAGGATCTTCCTCCCAACATTTTTCATAAAGCCTAACATACGTTTCAGGTGTTTCAAAGGAAGGGGGATCCCGAAAACCCTTCTCCCTATATTTAGGCACTTCATGACTTTTACAGCCTTCACACGGCACCTTCCCACTAGAAATTTCCCATAGCATAACGCCGAGACTGAATACATCTGATTCTTTTTTACGTCTGTATGAAGGATCCCGGAATGAAACTGGATCCCTATACGCCGCAGTGCCTTCACCTCGTGATTCGGAAAGAAGTTGTACCAGCATGGTAGACAATCCAAAGTCCGTAATTTTAGCAGTGCCATTGTGAATGAGAATGTTCGAAGAGGACTGGATAAATAATCATAGTGTCATGACTTATTCAAATACATAGCCGCAATAGATATCGAATACAACATACGGGTGAAATCATACATACCAAGTCCTTATGGACAATATCAAGATCATGCAAATGAGATAAACCATTTGCAATGTCCAAGCCCAATTTATATTTGCGCTCCCATGTCAGAGTAGGAAAATATTTCATTAGATACTGGCGCAAAGTCCCATCTTTGGCATATTCGAAAACCATATGATAATGATCTTCTTCATCTATAATGATAACAGGTTTTGTGAACATAATCCTTCCAAAATCGAGGATGTCAGTCAACAAGTGATAATGGATACTTTACCTTTACATAGGCCTAAAAATTGGATAATATTAACGTGGTCGTTAGCCCTTTTATGGTTTTTAAGCTAATATGATGTTCAGCGAAAAAATACAAACATCGCATTAAGAAATCGTTGATAAGTAGCCCGCAAATGCAAAGTGAAATAAATAATTGATAAAAACCTCCTTAACAATTGCTTTGTACAGCAAGTTGTCATCATTGCGATACATTGAACGAATTAAAGTCTTCACTGCAACGGCAGTCCCGGAAGCCTCAATCATTCCTTTGAATACTACACCGTATGCACCATGAGCGATAGGTCCTTTGCTTAATTTAATATCATTTTCCGGCCAACAATCGATTAAACCTTTCTCAATTGTTCTACGTAGCCATTCTTTATTATTATCACTCTTATAATAAAGGCAATATTTTGAGAAAACTGTTTCCGGATTCCGGTTAAAAGAGGCAGCCGAGAAGTTTTTTTTTCTTGATTTCGTTGACCGTTCATCTCGGCTTTGTCTCTTTAACTTTCGGATTGTTTTTGTGAATAGTCGCCTATATTTCCTAGTTAATGGCTTGCAATACACTGGATTCAAACGTGTTTCCGCGACAGTGTATGGCTTATTAGGTCGAGATGAGTGCTCTGCATCAATTTGCTGCAACGTGTGTTCTAATTTTGTGATTCCAGTATTCTTTGCTACAAGCGTCCGTCTGAATTGATATTCAGAGTACCCTTTGTATGGATATTCAGAGTACCATTTGTAGGGATATTCAGAGTACCCTTTGTATGGATATTCAGAGTACCCTTTGTATGGATATTCAGGGTACCCTTTCATGTGTTCTTGCCTGGCGTCCTCTGCCATTTTCTCGAACATGAGACGCACTTCGGGCGTTTCTTCACGCCACATGCAAGAAATTTTCGCTAAAGCCTCGCTACACTTCATTCCGGCATTCCTTAACGCGGGCAGCTTTGCCCGACGGTAGAAGAAGAATGCATTCGGTTTGAGGGATCTCGAGTATCTCAAGGGAGTGGGTAGAGGGACATCGGCATCTGGAAGCATACGTGGCACATTCAATGGAGCTGAAACCTGTTTAGCTGTCTCTAGTAGATTCGTAACCGTTTGTGCTTTCGTGTCATTTGGGACCAGTACGGGCTCAAAGCCTTCGGGTATAAAATACAATGTGCCTTTGCGTTGCTCATAGAGATCTTGAACTCTGTCGTACGATACACTCTCAAAATTGGGTAGGAGAACAGCTTCAGAGTTTGGTGTGGACCGTTGTTCCTGTACATTACTGTGGGCAAATTGGTCTGTCGAGTCTACGGCAGGGGAAGGTGGTAACAAACCGGAAGAAAAATCGAGAGCATCCCTGATGGGAGCAAGTTCTTCACTTTTTTCTTTGAGTACTTTGAGTCTTTCCAAACCTCTTTTCGTATAGGCTGCACAGGAAGCCAACGATGTGACATCGTCTTTTTGGTATGTTTGATGATGACCAAGTCCCATGGTACAAGTCGGGCCGTTCAGTGACATGACAGTTGAGGAAAGCCCTGTCGACTGAGTTGGTATAGATGATGGGTTAATTACAAGACTACGTTCTTCCTTGCGGTTACTGGACCACAGTCCCGCATGAACAATGAACATTGAGGGATCGACGGAACTTGTAAACGATGCAATCGATTTTGTTATTTATTTAATGTGATTGAGTCGTCGCATTAATACACATATTAAGAGGGGTGTCAAATGTATGATACAAAAATTCTCATATTTACCTTTCATGGATGGGCTTGCGTAACTCCGCTATAAGACGAACTAAAAGAGGTTCGATGGGTCTTCGGTCTTCCATTGGAAAAGACTCTGTAAGAGCAAGATACGAAATTTATAAATAAAAGGCCTGATTATGATGATACAGTACACTTCGATGTCACGGGAAAGTGCACATACCCACTGATGATCGCAACATATTAAGGAACACTCCCTAGAAATGGCTAATTGCGCAGTAATATTTGTAGTACAAGCAGCAGAATAATAGTAATAGTAGATTAGCAATTAGAAATTTATATCGATGCTAAAATAGATCAATTAGTAGATGAGAAAGTATATAAGCAACGTAGAATTTGTTTAGCATCGGTGTGTTTTGTTCGCATTATTCAAGTTCAATAACAAATTCCTTTATATCGAAGACGTTCGATTTCCTTATTTTTTATAAATAAACGAGTATCCATTTACTCTGAAATATTAATTTTTTCTCTGAATATTCCGTTATATCATTAATCCGTATAACGGCAAGATCAGTCATAATACTTGTCCCGTGATCGATCAAGTGGCATTACGATAGTTAATTATTATTTCTCAACGCCTTATTTTCTTGTTAAGACCCCGAACTACAGACTACCGAATTAATTTGCCGGTAGAGAGTAGTAATTCGTTTCTCGAGAATAATTAATTATTTAGGATTAGTGTGTGCGATCCGTATACAAATACGTCAGCACGATAAAGCCTAATTAAAAGGTCACTAACTGTTTGTTACGATTTAGTTATCGTTGAGGTGAACCACACTCCTACGATGGCATAGCTAGATCCCAAACCGAGACAGTAGTTATTCGCTCTCCCGTGACTATTGCCTCGACGTCAGCTACTGTAGATTCCCAATACTTCCAAATACACTCGACGGACAAAAGTTTGAATCCAAAACTTTTATGACATTTATTTCAGAAATTTACTAACAAAATTTAATAAAATTTATATCATTCAAAAGCTCTACTTTTCCTGTATATTTTTTACCATGAATATATTTCATAAAAATTTAAAATATACGTAAGACAAAAAATTACGTCACACTAACCATTTTATTCAGTAAGCTAAAACCTATGGTCAAGTTTGGATCCAAAATTTTTATGGCGTTTATTTCAGAAGTTTACTAAACAAAATTCAATAAAATTTATATCATTAAAAAAGGCTCTACTTCTCTTGCATATTTTTTGCTAATGATAATACTTTTCTTTTGGGGTTTGTTGTTGTTTAAATTTAAATAATAGTATGCCTCAAAGAACAGAAGTTTTTTGTCATACGTTAGACGACTCATATTCGTCAGGTCGGAAATTTGAGTCCTCTTCCTGAATTATGGCAAGCGAAAATAGTGAAAAAAAAAATAATAATTAGCATAATTTTCTCCTTTAATATGATAATCAATTTTTATTTTTTCGGCAGCCAATTCTCAATATTGACTGTCAATTCTTTCTCGGCTGGCGGTGTCGCAAATTATTACTAAGGAGTTTTGGTAATTTGCCTTCTCTAACTGGTCATTTTTACCCAAAAATTTTAAACTTTCGTTGTTTTTTCCATCCGTAAAATTTTTAAATTTTTACGAAATATATTCATAGTAAAAAATATACAGGAAAAGTAGAGCTTTCGAATAATATAAATTTTATTAAATTGTGTTTAGTGAATTTCTGAAATAATGTCATAAAAGTTTTGGATTCAGACTTTTGTCCATCGAGTGTATCTTTGTCAAATCACATTGAGCAAGCATTATTTATTGGAAAGCAAGCTTTTTTTTCTTATTGCCTCATGCGTGTGGTACTAATTTTTTTGCAAATTAACCTGATTGGTAGTATACCATACGCATGATAATGAGGAAATATCGTAAGGCGTTCAACTTATAAAAAAAAATAATCTGGCAAGTCAGGATTCGGCCAAACCGTCGGGCCGGTAAAACCAGATTCTCTTACGATTATCAGTATACCCAACAGATTTGAATGGGGATTTCAATGGATGGTCGTTAATGAGAGGCTGTCGTTTTATCTAACTGTAAATAGTAATAACACTCGCCGATGTCGAAAATTCGATGTTTCCTTTACTTAGTGATGCACTAAGAGAAATTTTTGACAATTTGATGCGCGTAAATTATACAGCTTTTTGAAAAGGAGCAAAATATACAGAGTGACAAAAGTTTTTGACACTTTGAAAACAACAATTTCGTGATTGTAAACGCATAATATTACAGAACAATGATCGGCCGTACAGTTAGTATATAGGACAATAATGTAGGTGGTAATAAAATGGTTATGACAATTTTTCTTCGAAACACTGCATGACATAAAAAAGGTGTCAAAAATTTTGTCACCCCTCTATAGTTATGTAAAATCATACTAGTATTTAGAACTTTTATCGTCATAGACAACTCAGAAAGGTTTTGTTTTGAGTTTCTTAGGTGACTAAGCAAAACTGTTTGAATTATCGCAAAATACGCTAAATTTAAACTTTACAGTGTAAAACGTAATACAGTTGAGGCTACCTATAGTGAACCTCAGGTAAACGGGCTGTAAAAATTATGTCGAATAGTAGTTGATTAATAGCCAGTTTTTATAAATACAGTGAGACTCTTCTAAATGCATACCGTAGAATTTTGCATTTAGAGGATAGTCACATGATATGGATTGATTGGATGTCTTTTGCCGATAAATATTTACAACAAAATTCTTTCGCAAGCGATAATAAGAAAATTTCCATGACAAAAAGAATATATAAAGACGTGAAATATGCTTGAAAAAAATCCAAATATCACCCAAAGGATCTTGTTGAATGGTGTTAAAAGTGGAAGTCGATCAAGCAACAATATCTCAATTGCTAAAGCGTTCAACTGAGTTTTGGACATAGTACAAAAAAATTTGGTGTGATTTATTTGTTGTAGACGAGAAATTAGGAATTGCAATATAGGAAGTGGGCAATTAAACGGAATTAAATAAAGAAAGTTTGTGTGTTTTTTTTTACATTAATCAGACTGTCAAAGACATATTGGACTTAATATTATGTTGTAATCACACATGCATTATTATACTGCACAAGAACAGGGTTCGTATTATTTCACTAGCAACTAAAAGGATAATGTTGTTGAGCGATTGGCTCCTTAAGAAAAACCGATAATATATTACGTGATTATGCATTTAGAATACTATGTAAAATCGATTGCATGCGTTTAAAGGGTGTATTCAATAACATTGTAAGTCCGAACTCGGGACTAGACAAAAGTATGCATGTAGAGGAGTTATAAATTAGAGGATATGCATTTAGAGAAGTCTCGCTGTATAATAAAGGATACTATTGCCATTGTTGTATGTGTATGTCACATGACTTTAGCTGTAGTAAATGCTGTCTAAAAGCCTGTCGTCTTGTATTAATAAATTCATTTAAAATGCTTTTGTTGTTTATCAAATCAAGCACTAAACGCTTAACCAATACAAACCTTTGCTAGAGCTGTTGGCTCCTGCATCTGTAACATAATTTTCAATTTGCTAACAAAGAATTTAATTTACCAATGCAATGTACGACTTGCACAGGTAGTGAAATATAATTGAAGGATCTTTTTTGGGAATTACTACCGTATGATAAAAGCACGCGAGATCGTATTTACTATTAACCCATGGTCAATGAAGACTTGTTTGTGTTTTCTATTTTTTTTTAGTCTATGTACATAATATATACACAGTAAAGTCTGCTTTGATGAAAGTCCTTTTTAACGAAGATAGCTTTATAACGAAGCTTTTTTATGGAACAGACTCATTCATGTATGCTTAGCTCCCGGTTTAACGAAGATTTATAATTAAAATCTGTATAAGATATAGCGAACCCATTAATAAGAAAATCATTCAGTTTAACGAAGACTGCCTAAATTAACATAATTTTGGTGCATAACGAAGTTCGTTATAGCATTACCGTATATAGAGATCTGAACAACACATCGCATGTAATAAAGATGTCTAATTCTTCACCATTCATGTTGACATTCAATTATATAGTCAGTCAAAGCAAGTGCGCAAACGAACGAAAAAAAAGTTGCAGCAGAAAAAATAGAGAATTTTATCAATCAATAGAGATACGGAATGGAACGCACAGATGTAAATAAATAAATAAATAAATCCCGTTTTAACGATTGATTATATATCTAATTCGTTATATGAAATCCGCATTAACGAACAGTCCGCGTTAACGAAGTTTTTTGGCGGAACAGAGTTCTTCGTTAAAGCGGACTTTATTATGTAATGATGTCAAATCCTTCTACTAGTGGAAGAATTTCATAAATATATATATAACCGAGTAGGCTTAATTACAATAATCGAATTAAAAGTAAAATACAAATGACGATTGATGTATGACAACCGCGCCGTGGAATAAGATCGTGATCAAACTTGCTACAAACATCAGCGTGAAATTTACGCTGATCCAGAACTAGAAGGGCTTGATCCCAGGACACTCATTAATGGTGGTGCTTCTCTACCTCCGATGCCAATATGTTTACATGAGAGATCTAGAGCTTCAATTGTCCGGTTTTGGTTTTGGTAAATTTGTAATATATATATTTCATACAATATTAGCAATTGCCGGTATACGTCCTTACATATTGGTCGTTCGTAAGGATCTTCCCTCCAACACTCTGAATAAAGCTTAACATACGTTTCAGGTGTTTCAGAAGAAGGGGGATCCCGAAAACCTTTCTCTCTATATTTAGGTACTTCATGACTTTTGCAGCCTTCACATGGTACTTTCCCGCTAGAAATTTCCCATAACGTCACGCCGAGACTGAAGACATCCGCTTCTTTTTTACGCCGGTAGGAAGGATCCCGGAATGAGACTGGATCCCTATACGCCGCAGTACCTTCACCGCGTGATTCGGAAAGAAATTGTGCTAGTACGGTAGACAGCCCAAAGTCCGTAATTTTAGCAATGCCATTGTGAATGAGAATGTTCGAAGACGACTAGATAAATAAATCATAACGTCATGACTTCATTCAAATCTATAACTGCAACTGATATCGACCGTACACGCATGCGGAGAAATCACACATTACCAAATCTTTATGAACTATATCAAGATCATGTAAATGAGTTAAACCACTTGCAATGTCCAAGCCCAATTTATATTTGCGCTCCCACGTCAAGGTAGGAAAATAGTCCTTCAGGTACTGACGCAAAGTCCCATTCTTGGCATATTCGAAAACCATATGATAATGATCTTCTTCGTCTACAATGATAAACAGGTGATGATTCATACGACACTGAAATGTCAGCCAACAAGTGATCAAGGATACTTTACCTTTATATAGACCTAAGAATTGGATAATATTAATATGGTCGTTAGCCTCTTTGTGGCTTCTAAGCTAAACGTAATCAGTAAAAAGTACAGAAATCCCGAGTAAGAAATCATTGAAATGTACCCCGTAATAGCAGAGATGAAATATACGACTGACAAAAACCTCCTTAAAAATTGCTTCGTACAATAGGTTGTCATCATTATGATACATGGAACGAATGAAAGTCTTCACCGCAACAGTAGTCCCAGAAGCCTTAATCGTTCCTTTGAATACTACACCGTACGCGCCATGAGCGATAGGTATTTTGCTCAATTTGATGTCGTTCTCCGACCAACATTTGATTAAACTTTTTTCAATTTTTCTGTGCAGCCGTTCCTTACTATTATAATAACATCGTTCGTTTCTTGAAAGATGTGTTTCCGAACTCCAATTCGAGGAAGTACGCGTGAAGCATAATGGATTGCAGTACACTTCAGCGAAAGTACATAGCTTATTCGGTTGACACGTTGAACACTTTGCAAGCCGATCTCGAGGTCGCATCGTTTCTAAAAATTGAACTTCTTTCTCCATACTAGAGGGGTAAGCCTCCTCTTGTTCCCTGTCGTGAAGCTGTTGAGCCAGGAATAAGTGCTCAACTGTATCGACGGGATCCAGACCGGGCTCATTGGAAGTAGAAGCCGTGGATGAGCATTGCCAACGGAAAATGTAATCGGTTTCAAGATATTCTGTCATTTGTATCGGGATAAGATCTAACGAAGGCCATGATTTCTTAGCTTGTGTGTCGGACGCATACGACTGCTTCAAGGATCCACGTTTAGAAACGACTTGTTCAGCAGAGTAAGGACGCTTGGCCAGGCGAAACCGGTTAGTTTTCCACCACCTCTTAACGTCGGCCCATTCGACGTCGAAAGCAGCTTGTTCTCGAGCAACGTCGGAAGAAGACATTATTTTCCTAGCCCATTATAATTAACAAACACTTGTGGCTTAATACAATCCTTATTAGTGTAATACTCGCACAATTACAAAATTTGAAGGGTTCTGAAAGATGAATCGCCCGTAGGGGGACCAATAATTAAAATCCTTTGTGAAAGTACCAAATGTCGACTTTTTTTCCGAGAAAACGAGTCATTATACTATCACACAATAACAGAAGTTCAGGAAGAACGCGTCCGAAAAATATGTCAGTAATCAGACTTTCATATCAATGAATACGGATATGTACGTTGATATAATCAGGAATTTATCCGACATGTTACACTGCCATAATTTTATCCTAAAGCTGTACTACATGTCGGATTGTATTACACTTAAAAAGGAAATATTATAGCCGTGTGCCGTGTATGGTGCAAGACCGAACAGTTGTTCTGCAGATCACTTATCAATCACATGACATTTATCCAATAAAATTCTTTAAAATCATAATGCAAATTTATTTGAAATTATATACTTACTTTGATCGGACTAATTTGTTCTTAACTCCTATGCATTTTCAGGGATTCTTCTGTGTGATTTATATTTTCTAGCAGCATATTCTGCTAATTTACCTGTAAATCCGTGCCTATGCAAATCCAT